CTATACATCATCGATCCCTTTCCTCTGTGGCTCCATAATCTCCTTGATCAGAAAATGTGGGGCACAACTGAGTTACATGATGTTACAGTACAGGTTCTCCTATGTCCTGAGTCTTCACTGACCTTGAAAGGCTAGGGCCATAATGTTGGCTGACCTTGCAGCCCTTCCTTTTCTCCAATTTTTGATCTGCAAACTTTGGTTGTTAACCCTGCAGAAAAGAAGCTTATTATTACCCTGCAATATATGAAGTTTGGTTTACCCTATCTGTCTAAATATCAAAACATCTTAGGCGTAACAGGGAACGGGTATTTTCCATCAAGTATGATATGTTAAACTTTAAGTCCCTACAGAATATGAAGAAAAAAATAATTAAAAAAATAGGAATAAACACATTTTTACACAGAAATTTAGAAATCTAACCATATACAGCATTGTAGCAGAGCAGTCCTGTGACTTTTTTTTTCTTGTCTTTTTTTTTTTAAATTTATTGCCTTTTTTAAAAAAAAATTTACTTGAGAGAGAGTATGGTAATAATTGGTACGTTATGACAAGAAATATGTATTTAGAAGACCAGAGTGACAGGCATTCCAAGTGTGACCCTTCTATTGCACATTGTCATCTTCAGTGCAGTAGCTTGGTTCGCAGGTATCAGCATATATAGTTAGTCAGGGTGAGAATCCTGCCAGTTAACTGCTAGTTTCAAAAACTTGCTGATGTTTCTCAGGATCATTGCCTTACCCATCTCATGCATATAAATGCATGGCTTTGCCCCTGTCATGTTTCCCAGCTTTTCTCCTTGCCCTCTCCTCATTGTCCGATCCTCAAGTTCTTGCTTTCCTTTTAATTGTGTTATACGTTTCTATTTGTAATTCTTCTTTTGAGTTCTTACACTAGGGAGACCAAACAGTATTTACACATTTGGGTCTGGTTTATTTCGCTTATAAGTATATCTTCAAGTGGCATCCACTTAAATATGAAGGCTTCAAGTTTATCATTATAGCTGAGTAATACTCCACTGTATAGAAATAACACATCTTTTTCAACCATTCCTCATGTGACGGGCATCTTGGTAGTTTCCAAGATTTGGCTATCACAAATTGTGCTGCTATAAACATAGGTACACATATATTATTACGATATGACACTTTCAATTCTTCCGAGAAAATTTCCCAGTAGGGGGATAGCTGGTTTGAATGGGATTTGCAGTCCTATTTTTTTTTAAGGAGTCTCCACACTGATTTCCATAACAGTGGCACCAGTGTGCATTCCCACCAGCAGTGGAAAAGCGTTTCCTTTTCCCCACAGCCTCTCCAACATTTCTTGTTTGTTGATTTGTTTATAATAGCCATTCTTTCTGGGGTGAGATGGTATCAGTGTTGTTTTAATTTGCATTTCATGGATGGCTAGTGATGTGGAGCATTTTTTCATATATTTATTCGCTTCTTTAATTTCATCCTCTGAGAAGTGTGTGTTCATCTCAGATGCCCATTTCTGGATTGGGTCTTTAAATTTAGGGGCCCTAATGTTTTTAGTTATTTATAAATTCTAGAGAGCAGACCTTTGTCTGAGTGCTTGTTAAAAATTTTTTCCAAAATTGTGGGTTGTCTTTTCACTTTGTTGGTAATTTCTTTTGAAATGCAAAGACGTCTCAAATAAGAGATGGTCCCAGTTGTTAATTCTTTCGAGTAATACCTGTGCTTTTTGATTTTTATTCATGAACTCTTTGCCTACCCCTATGTCTTCAAGAGTTCCTCCTACCTTCTCTTCCAGGAGATTTAGTGTTTCTGTTTTAATGTTTAGATCTTTAATCCATTTTGACTTTAGCTAGCATGGTGATGGACTTGGGTCAAATTTTAGTTTTCAGCATGTAGGAGCCAGTTATTCCAGCACCATTTGTTAAAGAGGCTATCTTTTCTTCTAGTAAGTGTGTTTGGCCCCTTTGTCGAACATCAGGTGGCTGAGTGTGTTCATAGAGACCTCTACATCTTCTAATCTATTCCATTGATCCTCATGTCTATTTCGTTGCCAGTACCATGCTGATTTTATCACAGTAGCTTTGTAGTATAATTTCAAGCCAGGAATTGTAATGCTTCCTGCTTTGTCTTTGTTGGCCAGGATTGCCTTTGCTATTCCAGGTCTTTTCTCGTTCCAAATAAATTTTAGGAATGATTTCTCTAGGTCTGTGAGTATGTTGGTGATAATCTGATAGGGATTGCATTAAATCTGTACAACAATTTTGGGAGTATGGCCATCTTCACGATGTTGGTTCTTCCTATTCAGAAGCAGGGAACATCTTTCCGTTTTTTGAAAGACTCTATGATCTTTTTTTTTTAAGTGTACTGTAATTTTCCGTGAAAAGATCTTTGATTTCTTTAGTTAGATGAATTCCAAGGTATTTCATTTTCCGCAGTGCTATTGTAAAAGGTATTGTTTCTCTGATTTCTCTCTCAATATATATGTTATCTGTGTAGAGGAATGCTATTCACTTTTGGGTATTGACTTTGTATCCTGCTATGTTACTGAATTTGTGTATTAATTCTAGCAGCTTCTTGGTGGAGTTTTTTGGGTCTTCCAAGTAAAGTATCATGCCATCTGCAAATAATGATAATTTAACTTATTCTTTACCTATTCTTACTCCTTTTACTTCTCCTTCTTGTCTAATGGGTCTAGCTAATGATTCCAGAACTATATTGAATAGGAGAGGTGATAGAGGACATCCTTGCCTTGTACCAGATCTGAGAGTAAAAGATTTCAGTTTTTCCCCATTTAGAATTATATTAGCTATTGGATTGTCATAGATGGCTTTTATGAGATTGAATTAGAGGACTTCTATTCCAATTTTCTGTAGGACTTTGAACATGAATGAGTGTTGGACTTTGTCAAAAAGCCTTTTCTGCATCAATTGAGATGATCATTTTCTAAAATAGACCGCATACTGTTCTTGTTGGTGGAGTTCTGATCATTTTGGTCCCTCTTTAGAACATCTTTCAGTGCTCTGTAGGTTGGCTTTGTCATCATGAAATTCTTTAGTTATTCTTTGTCATGGAACTATTTCACTTCTCCATCAAACTTGTTTTTTTTTTTTTTTTTCTCCGAATGCCCTCAGGGTTGGTTGGGCTGGCCGGAGTGTTGTGGGGATCGAACTACAGCAACCTGAGGCTGACAGCTTTGTGGAAGCAGCCACTTAAAGAACTGAGC